CCCTTGGCAATGACCAGGTCGCCGGGCAGCCCGGGGACCAGCCTAGAAGTTTTCTTCTCTTTTTGTTTTTGTTTTTGTTTTTTTGCGTGGTCCGATGGACCACGGATCAGATATTAAACTAATCAGAACAGATACTACACTTGATCTTAGCCAAAAGGCCGAGAAAGGTATTTCTTCTCTTTTCTCTATTTTAAGTTTTTAATTTTTGTTTTCTGATTTTTTTTTATTTTTTATTTTCATTTTAAACGTTTTTTTATTTTTTTATTATTTTTTGAAGTTTTTTCCTCTTTTTTTCTCGTTTTTGAAAATTTGTTCTTTTGAATCTTTCCTGATTTTTTTTTCTTTTCTGCTTTGTTTGTTTTTCTCTCTTTTCTGAAGTTTTTTTCCCTCTTTTCTTTTTTCTTTTTCTCGTTCTCCCCTTTCTGCAAAAAAACAGCATAAGAGAACACAAAAACTCGAGATGCAAGAAGTCGTTGAAGACCTATCATGACTAAGCCAATCTGAAAGCAGAATGACAAAGCAGAGAGCGCACCAATCCAATAATACACTACTGAACTCGCTTGACAATGGAAGCCCTCTTCACACCTCCAACTGTGCATGCCAACAATGGATATGTAACATTTAGAAAGGACTTTGACTCCTTGTTTCAAAGAAAGGTCATGGTTTGGAGGTTGCTAGCAGGGTGGATAGCGGCTTTGGGAGTTCGGAGCTCGTGCCAACCGGGTTCTAGGGCTGCAGAATCTGACACGCAAGAAGGGCTGGTCGCAGCTTTCAAAAGCAACCCGCTGAGGAGCCACCGTGCAAGCCGGCAATACGCATCGGGGGACACCGTACATGGGGCAGGAATGTGTATACGATAATACGAATGATTTCTTAAGCACAGATTTGCTTTGCTGTGGCTTGCTCCGACCTCACGCTTGCAGACAGCCTGTACTTCCCGCAGCTTGTCTCAACTCGATCGGTCTTAGTCATTACAAAGGTTAGTTCCAAAGTTGGTTCCAGTTGGTTCCAGTTGGTTCCAGTTGGTTCCAGTTGGTTCCAGTGGTTCCAGTTGGTTTTGAACAACTGAGTCCTGATAGGGTGGCAATTCACTTGCCCTTGTGCATCTACTGACGGGTGAAAATGATGGTAACAGTTTCTTCGCTGAGTTGTGTGCAAGTATGTGGTTGATATTCAAATGAGCTCGGGTTGACAGGATGGCGAAGCAGAACAGTGAAGCTTACCGTTCTTCCTTGCTCCTCTGGACAACTCTCCACCATCGACGCCATGAACGGATAAGCGTGTGCCATTTCAGCAGAACCTGTATGCAAGAGATCCATTAAGAGCTGCAATTGGTTTTGAGAAATTTGAGGTCTAATATTGTTGTCCTGCATGTGAATCATGGTTCTTCAATTTCCTTGTCCTTCCTTTTATTTCCATTTATTATTTTTTAAATCCTTCCCACAGGTTCACCTACAGAAACCTTGTTTTGACTTCTCCTTCCTCTAAATGATAAGGTTCAACAAACTTCTCACAGCAACCCCAGTGGCAAACGGCCGGGATCACCGTCATCAAGACATTCAATCGGCAGGAGCAACGGGCAGGGTGTACAAAGGGCAGGGACGTGTGCGAGCTGATGACTCACGCTTACTAGGCCGTTGCATTCTCAGCTTTCGCGATTCAACTACTTGCCTGGTTGGTAATACCAATACCAACAATCATTCCCCCATCATCATGGTTCTACAATGAACTTCCATGCCCTCTATAGACCCCATTCTTCACGCACTTACGGTGTAAGTGGTGATGCATGAGACCACAAGGATATATATATATATATATATATATATATATATATATATATCGTCACAAATAGAACTGCCCGGTAAACCGTAGGCAGAGAGAGAGAAGAGGACAACAAACAAGGGGCTATGACAAACTATTTCGTTGGAGTTTCACCGACTCATTAGGAGGCTGTATATATATATATATATATATACATATATATATATATATAT